TATATATATAAAATGTAGACAGATCAGCTTCAATTCTGAATTAAGATGTAAGGAAATAAATTGGTAGGATTATGCAAAGGTAACTTGATTTAGATTTATACAAACTTTATTGTAATTTCGATGCATACAGCTTTTCAACAGTGAATGAGCAGCTTACAACAGTGAAATGAACATTACCATTTATGAAGTGCAGCATTGATCAGAATATGAACAGTGTAGGAGAAAAGAAAAAAAAACTGTTTAAAGTTATGGTGCAAAAGGCATTGATATGGAAAGCTTCAGTGCAGTGCAAATAAATAAATATGATGCAAAATGCAGTAGAACTTTGAGTTGTGTCCTATTTAAAGTGATTAGGAAAAAAAATCACCCATGTTTGTAGTGCAGATATGATGTTTACATGTGTGATGGAGAGTCTTGATTAGTTTAAACAGTTCAACAGTCTGATGGCAGAGGGGAAAAAGCTGCTGCAGAACCTGCTGGTCCTGCAGCGAGTGATACTCGGATGCATCGTAAAAAATAGAAATATTGACTTTTCCAACTCAGATGAAAGCAATCATAAAATCTGTGCAGAGATCCATACTCAGATATGTGTAAGTTTGAAACAGATTCTAGAAATTCTGTTCTGCTCAGATGCGTCGGTGGCGGTAAACTTCATAGACGATGACCTTTAGGAAAACCAAGACCTCACTTTCTTTTTTAGTCTGTTAGTTAAAAACCCGCTTCCATAAGATGGTAAAACTCTATAGGAATCATTACATAAGAACAGTTCCCGAAAACAGCAACAACTAAAGTCAGATTCTGTTAATACACAAGAAGAAAGAGCATTGCTTTAGATTGGTCTAGGTGTTTACTGAGCACATTGAATTAGAGGGGGAAATATATAATAAATCTTGAAATGTTTACCCTTATTTATCGTCGCTGAATACTAAAGCTTCAAGTTTGGCACCACAGTCTTCTTCATCTTGTTCCCTTTTCAAAGAGGAAGTTATGGTGGACAAAACGCTGGTCCACATGTTGGCTTCTTGTAAACCATGAAGCAGTCACTTTCAAAAGCACACACTCACTTGTTCTTTATTTGAGACAACTGATAAGATGGAAACAATATTATGTTTTAGAGGTTAAACAAGAGTGATTAATATCATTCATGTATAAATCTTTTAAAGGTAGAAATAAAGCGAGTCCCTTTTCTCCACAGGCTCTTTTTATAGAAATGCCAATTAAATTAAAATCTAGGATAGATTAAATATAAACAGTTTTGCTGTTCATATGGTAATGTCAATTAAATCTGAAAATAATTTTTCAATTTAAGATTCAACATCAGACATAACTATTTTCAGTCCCTCTTGAAATAATTCATTGATAAAACAAACCGTTATGATAAATGAAAGATTTTCTCATTTTTAACATGAATGTTTTTTTTTTTTTTCCCTTCCAGGAGTGAAAGAGGATTCTTCTTCTTCTTCAGCTGCATCATCTCCAGATGTGTTTGCTGTATATCTCCATCTACCTTACGCAGGTCACACCTGCTTCCTGTTTCAACAAGAAGATGAGAGAAATCACTTCCTCTCTGGCCTCAAGGCCTGTATTAGACACCGAAACCTTGGTAAAGCACTAACATGCAACTCAAATTAGCAATCAGTATGCAGCTGATGGTATGCAGACGTGGAGATAAAAAACAACATGAGAAAAAAAACAAAATGTCTGTTTTAGAGACCGCGCTCAGCAGTTCTGCGGCTTAATACATAGTTTTCGACATAAAGACCAAATTATTCATATCGCATGAACTTTTTCCAAATTATTCCAAGCTCTACACATTTATTGTGACTTTATGTCATAAACCAACATATGGTTTTCTTTAAGAAGATTACTCTAAACAGCCAGAGCTATATTAACCTGGTTAATATCAAAGCACATATATGTGTGTCTAAAGCTGCTTTTAACCCTTTCCTTATCTTGTTTAGGTGTGCATTTAGATGCCCGAAAACCAAACTGATATTTCCTTGTTTGTGGGCAAAAATTTGGTAATTAAAGTTGATTCTGATTTTGAAGGTGAGCTAGATAAATTCCAGATCTAAATCCACTTCAGGATCTGCTTTGCGATGGATAGAAAAAACTCACAGAGGCTCTCGATTTCTCTAATCCTGAACTCACTGCCAGAGAAGAATGAGAATTCTTGCCAAGCAGCTTTTTCTTACGTCACTGGCATTTTTTTTTCTCAAAATAAGAACATTTGATCATATTTAAGAATATTTGACCTATTTGAAGCAGCACATTGTTAGCAGTGCATGCTTCACTGAAACGGGATTTTGCGGGGATTTTATTTGTGAAGAAGTAATAATTTGCAATAATTTGGATCATTTTAATTCCACATCTGATAAGCTTCTTTGTACTGATCTATTACAACAAAGCCTGTTAAAATACCTTTAGTTAAATGATCAGATGCAGGAAAAGGTCAAGTAGTGTAAATAATTTTACTCATGTTTATGTAGTATATTCATATTTCACACCTTCTCTAATATCTCTGCATCCTTTAAAGCTCGGTTAGGGCTTCATTTGTCAGAGCTCTATCTCCAGATATGATAACTATAATTTATTTTCTTTTACTTAGATAATAGGAAATTTAGTTGGAACCTTTTTTGAAACATATTTTTCATTGTCTAAAATTCTTTTATAGGCACTGCAGCCCCTTTTTGGGAAATATTTGATCTGTTGAAGAGTAGAAATATAAATGTGTTTCGAGAGCTTGGGGTTTGTCACTGGTGTGGCAGTTGCCTTGGCGACAGATAAAAATATTAATGCTGCTCACTTCCTCTGTGGTTAGCAGGATACAAACCAAAAACAAACCCATCTTCAATGTTGTCATGCGGTCGTTGCGAAAACAAGGCATGACATATCTGTGCAAAGACATCCTGAGCAGTGACAGGAAGCAGCTCACAAGTGGCCACCGATGACTTCTGCTCATTAGAACATCCAAAAAAACGTAAACAGAGATGATTAACTAGGAGCCGAGTGTTATTCTATCCAAAGATCGTTTTAAATTGATTTAATTTGGATCAAAGTTATGATATAATACTTTAATCGCTGTAAGAAAATGTGTTTATTCACTCTTTTAATGCTGCATCATTTGATGTTTTTCGCAAGCAATGTGTCAAATCACAGTTATATTGAAATGTTGAGTTTCAGGTTCATAAAAAGCCCTCATTGATTGCTTATTACCATAAGCTTGGTTTAGTTACTACCAAACTGTTAACATTTCTGTAGCAGTCAAAGCGCGCCACATCAGTTACTGTTAAACTGAAACTCAATGAAAGGGCAGAAGGAAGGAGGAATTACTTTTTTAAATTTGTTGTGGTTATCTCGTTGGTAAAGAGGAAAAAAATGAGGTTTAACACATAATGTCTTATTTCCTCAAACTTTAAACATCCAGTCTAATAAATTACATTAAAGAAGGTTAGATGACAAATTGTTTGGAAACAGTGGAGGAATAAGAAGGTTTTTCATGGATTAAGTCTTCATACTCAGAAATGCATTTTCTCATAAATTCAACCCAATTTAAAAAGTCTTTAAAATTTTATAAGCTTTATTTCCAGAAGGCATTACTATGAGAGAATCAACCAAATACAAATTTATTTACTTAAAAGCGGGCATCTGTTTTGAAAGCATCAATAAATACATTTTTTTATAGACACAGATGCCTCGTGTTGTTGTTCTTTATGAGTAAACAAATTACTATCATAGCACAGCAACCTAAACTTGGTTATATCTGCAATCAGACTAGGAGTTGGAAAGGTTGAGATTAACTGTATTGGTGGGAAACAAGGCTCGTAACGCTAACATGCACAGTCAGCAGGATGGAAGAGAAATACAAAAAAGCCCAATGTTGGGAAACTGCAGCCAGTGCTTTTAATGTGAGATCAAGATGCTGCAATAAACAAAAATGCATTTGAAGAAAAAAAATAAAAGATTTTACTGGGCTTTGCAGGAAATGTGTAATTTCCTTCATGATTATTGTTGCTCCTGCTTCCTTCTTTTTTAATGTTCCTGTTTAAGGTTAATTGCTGGATTTTTTAAACCTGGGTTTTACTTTTTTCTCATTCAGTAGCATATACATGTAACTTTTTGTTTCTGTTCAACATGGAAACAAAAGCTGCAGCACGTCGCTTTAAGAGTTGAATGAATCCGCTGGTGAGCAGGATGGAAGGTCACTTCTCCTAAATGAAAAGCTCTTTGCTATTTAAAACATCGATGCCAAGCAAAAAGTGCCCAACAGCCATATGATAAAATGTTAATGAAATAAAATATTAATGTTCAGTGAGAAAATGTTAACAGATAGTTGAAAAACATTATGCAGATTAGTAGTAATTGCACACATTGTGGGTTGGATTTTAAAACAAACACACATTTAGAGCTGGAAATGAAAAAGTTGTATAAACAAACGATAAATGCTTTAAGTTTTTGTAATATGTGGACCTAGGTTTAAATTCCGTTTGCAACGGGAATGGCGTCTGGCTTATTATTGCCAAAATAGGAATAGCTGGAAGGACATATAAAAAATACAAAATATATTAAACAAACTGGTTTCTCTTAATCTGAGGTTTCTAATTTTCCCATTTTACAAATAAAAGCAGAAATATGTGAAAGAGCCGAGAAAAGTCATACAAAGTAGAACATGGTGGTGATCAAACCAAACCTACTAACACCAATTTAAACCAATAATTTCTGAGGAAATAATCTATTGAAGCAGCTGAAATAGTTCAATAGATTTGACTAAAATTGGCTGAACAATGAAATAAAGTCAGGATGTTTAAATTCTCTTGTCGACGTGATTCATCGGATATAGACTTGCCCAATAGGTTTAATGATAATCGTGTCCAACAGTAAAAATAGGCTCAGAAGACAGAATAAATATAATTTTCCAGAGTTTTAACAAAGTCCCGTCTTCTCGCAGACCCCTGGCATGAGTCGTCCCACGAGAGTCAGGCCTATGCCCGAGCCCTCCGTCTTTACCGACAGGAGAAAGGATGCTACGAATCATGGGAGAAGCTGCTGGGCACCGAGGAACAGGTTAGAAACATTACCATGCTGCTTCCTGTCAAACTGTGACCTGCTAGCAATGTGCCTCATGTGCAGAGTGTGTACAGGTGCTGGCCCGCCTGGTGATGGAGGATGTGTTGTCATGGCTACAAAACCAACTTCAGCCTAAGATGAAGGGCAAGAAGGCTGAACGGATCCGACAATGGCAGGCAGTGAGTTCAACTAACAAACCGAGTCTCTAGTCTGTCAATGATCTTTGTTTAAAGTAAAGACATCTTCTTTTTTAATGATTTGAGTCATTATTTCGTTGAAGACATTTTGTGAAATAAAGAAATGAAAAAAACTTTATTTAAATCCAAACTCATGTGTCCCATAATGAGATGCGTTGATCACTATGAGAGGTTTCTTGTTATTCTACAGTAAAACCAAACCTTTGCATTCCTTTCAAATTTCCAAACACTGAGCTGTTAATTTATACTAAAGTTAATCGTTTTTATTTAATTTATCTTTTTGCAATGCACCAGTGCTATCCACCAAAATGCTTTACAGCTGTATATAAAGTATTTGCACGCTCACCATGACTCCTCCAAATATTCTTCTTGACCTCTCCAGGTAAACTCACCATCTTCTTCCTGTTTGGTGGTCAGGATTTTCTCCTCTTCAAATTTAGGACTTCTTTCTTTCTTTTCTTTCACCATGATTAATTTGCCTTTAAATAGTTTTAGAAACCCCAAACGATGCCATAGTTTGGCAAAGTGAGACACTGTTAGGAAAACATATTTTTTCTTTATCTGCTGTTGAGATCTTATCACATAAAACCTTTGTAGTTTGATATATTGAACAACCACATAGCTCAGAATAACTGGTGTAAAAATAGTTTTCAACAAAATGTATAGAAGAGGTGCTAATAATGATGGTTTGCTTGTTCTTAAATGCTTAAAAAAAGTTGGATGGTACAAAAAAGAGAGAGGAAAAGTGTATTTTCTCACTGATATCTATCGATATATAGACAGTTCAAGGGACCTACACCCTGGTGCTGGAACAGCTGACTGCAGGTTTGGAGGCTCTGAGGGAGGAGTGTCGCCAAACAGCATCAGCAAGTCAAGCCCTCATCAGGTCCCACCTGGACCAGATAATGTCCTCTCATGTCTTCCTGGAGCAGAAAGTCAGAGGTAATGTATATTAACAACGACGTTATACAATTGGCATTTTAACCTAGCAATAAAAATGATGTAATAACTTTCGTAAAATGTCATTTATTCATTCATATACACTCCAGCATGCATATCTGAAGAGACAGAGAAAGTGTGCAGTGAGTCAGTGGTACCCTACTTGTCCTCCATCCTTGAAGCACTTAACGAACACATCGGTGCAGGAATTCTTGGGATGCAGGACACACTGCAAACCCAAATGAATTCTGCATTTTCACTCACAAATGGAAAGGCGGAAGACACCAAAAAGGTGGGGAAAGCTCATTGTGAATTCCTGGCTAGATACCGCATATTCTGTTCATTTCATGTTGTTTAACATGGGTTCTGTTGTGTTTTCCAGGCCTTGACTGCTCTGCGCTCTATCAGTCTGGATGAGAGCTACAGAAAGGTGGAGAACCTGAGTGGCAAACTGGAAAACCTAAAAGAGAGGTTCGGAGTGAGCAGTGTCGAGAGGCTTGTTCAGTCTGCAAATCTGGAGATGGAGCAGGTAAGATATACAACTTCCTTATCAGCAGTGGAAAATTTTAACAACATGAGTTAGATGTGCATTTTATTTCATATGTGTGTGTTGCAGCTATTGGACAGCGCTGTTTACACTTTGGAGCAGATCTTCCAGTCATCAACACGATCGGAACCATCTCAGCTTCCTGCCAAGATGACGAGAGCTAAAGAAAGAGTGTTAAAGGTAAAGATGCAACTACTTGGAGTCAGCAATTCGATAACAGGATGAATTATTTTGGGTGAAAAGGATAGTTTCTAAAACAGATCCACTTTTATTTCTATCCAATCGACTTTATTTATATAGCACAATTAGCAACAAAAAATGTTTCCTAACACACACAAAAAAAGCAATAAGAGTTTAAAATGAATGAATAAATAAAAAGGACACAGAAGACCACACAATTATGCACTGTTTAAAGCCAAAGAGTAAAGATGGGTCTTAAGACGAGACTTAAACCACACCACTGTGAAGGCTGTTCGTATATGGATGGGCAAATTATTCCCAAGTCTGGGGCAAACTTCAGAAAAGCCTCTGTCCTCTCTGGTTGCATTGTCTTAGGCCCTATTAGCTGAAGATGGCCCTCAGACTTCTGGAGTATTAATTCAAATATCAAAATAAACTAAAATATAGTAAAAGAAAGCGCTGCATGTGAAAATTTGGATAAAACATTTTCTCTCTGCTATTCCTAAGGAGCCGGTTCCAAGTAACGTCCACAACTGACCAAGCAACATCCGGACGCCAAGCTAAACTCAAATTTCAGCTAAGATTTCATGGGAAAATAAACTAGAAGGCTTAAAATAAAATAAAAATCATAATGCAATGTGAGAACTATGAAGGCCCCAGTACTTCCTGTTTGGACAGGATGTGGTCTTCATCCTAAATTAAGCTCTTTTTTAACACTGATAAAGCCGCACATATAGCAATGCATGCGCTGTGAGCTTATTAACAGAGACAACACAAAAAGAAGCAACTCTAATTGAAAGTGACCAAAAATATACAAGAAAACTTATCAGTGCTGAGAATATATTTCAGATCACTTTTTAAGATATTAAGCACTAAACACTCACACTTTGTGTGGGGTGTTGGTAAACTTTCAGCAAATGTGAAAAAAAAAAACAAAAAAACATCTCCTTCATATTTTTAAAAAATCTTTTCTCAAAATGTTTTCAATAGAGACCTTGATGATATGTCTCCTATTATAAAGTTCCCAGGGCCTTCAGAAGAAAAACAGGCCCCTATCCTCACAGATCTGATGCTTAACTTAAAAGTGGGCAATATAATAAATAAATAATTGAAATTTATTGATCTCACACTGGAGAAATTTAACTCTGCATTTAACCCACCCCCATGGGGAGCAGTGAGGTGCCGTTGTGTGGTGCCCAGGGAGCAGTGTGGAGATTGTGGTGATCAAACCAGGTGCAACCTTCTCATTGCACAAGCGTGCTGCTCTAACCACTAGGCAATAACCTCCCCTTGCAAAAGCTGCTGTGACAGACAAAAGTCTCCAGACACTCCAACCACCTAAAAAAATATAGAGCTTTATTTTTTTTTTAGAAAGTATTATGGGAGCAACAAGTGATTCCTTTCTGAACAAGAATGTGCAATGTAAAATAGTTTTTTAATTAGCATTTTTATTAACACATCTGCAAATAAAGAGATCTTTATTTATTAGACTTAAACTTAGACAACCTTAATTGTCATTTTGTATACAGTGTGTAATTTGGTTTAGTACAGCATTTCAGACAGTTAATGAACATTTATAATCCATAAAGCGCAGCACTGATCAAAAGTAAACAGTGTAGGAGAAAAAAAACATGGCGCAAAAAGAACAGCTTGATATGGAAGTTCAGAAAATTGAATATATATATAGTTCAAATTTGTAGTATTTTTGGTTTGGTGATGATCAATGTGTTTAAGTTTTACGCATGTGTTTGAGCAGCAGCTGGATTACGACAGCAGGGTGCTTCAGAGGAGGCTGTATCAGGAAGCTCTGCAGGAGATCACGCTGCCCTCTCTCGTCAGTCGGATGGACAGCAAATACAAAACGGTCAGAGACACTCATCGCAGGAGGCGCCTGACTTAACACTCTCATTGCACACTTACCAAAATCAAAATTTCTCTTTGTGCAGGAGCTGGAGCAGTTTGAGCAGTACATTTTCTCGGACTACAGCAGTTTTATTCTGGTTCACAATGTCTACGATGACGTTCTGAGAAACATCCTGGTTAGGGAGGTCACAACAGGTAAAGACACCCACTAACACACAAATCACTCCCAATGACATATCTGGGCCTCAGTATGCAGCCAATCAAACCCTGTGTTTACTCTTCAGGGAGAGGCAGCATCAAAGCATAAAATATCTCCAACTGCAGCCTGTTATAACACAGCATCTAGACAGGTCATCTAATACAAGATCTGAAAGACAAGTGCAAATTTAAAGAGGATAGTCCCCATTAAAATATAAAAATAGTTATAGATCACTCAAAAAGCTCTCAGCAGGCAGAAAAAGCTCATTAATTAAAAGAGTATGATGATATGTTTAGCAAATCTATTCAGTTTTCCAAGTTAAAAAAGTAAAACAAAAACAAAAAACACTGGACTTTGTTTTCAAAGTTTGAAGGTGTTCACTTCCCATCCAGAAAGATTTCTCAATTCAAAATGTCTGGAGGAGTGTTGAGTTCCAGGCTTATAGGGTGGCCAAAACAAAAGCCTTGTTGTGGCTTAGAAACATGCAAATTGAACCGAAAAAACAGATCCAGCCCTTAGTAATGGGGAGTTGTTGAGGTCGTTGTTGGCCTGCAAGACCCGATACTGGCCTAGGCCTCTGAAAAGGGAGTAATTGAGGTTTTTGGTCTCCTGCATGGCAATGATAGCAGGAAGGAATCAACAAAGGAGTCCACCCCCTCTATTTAAAGCTGGTTTTCCTCTCTTAACATAAATGGCTTCCTTCAGACCCTTTTTTAAACCACCTGTCTGCTTTGTCCAAAATGTGAACATTCTGATCCTTGTATAGCGTTTGTGTCACTCTATAAACCTGGAACACAACGGTACTCCAGACATTTTGAATTTGAAAGATTCCTGGATGGTAAGTGAAGCATTTTCAAACTTGGAAAACTTTTTTTTTTACTTTGTTGGAATCTTCTCCAGCATGTGTTCAGTTGTTCACCATGGAAACATCAGGCAAATAAACATTTGTTTTAACAATCTAAGGATAATCCTCTCCAGAATAATTGTTTTTCTTTTCAGCTCTAAATGTCCTTGCAGAGACTTTTAAATATGGTTTCATAGAGAAAGGTGTGCATACAGTTGCACTTCTAGACCAAATATACTCTGGGGACTGGGTGGGGTTGGTGTTATTTTTATAGGCGTTTAGAACAAAAACAAAACAGGCCAAATCTTTAATAGTTTAGCATAATAAGTTAGCTATAGAGACACTCATGGATCTGGAAGTTCCAGACTCCAGATTTAACAAAATATGATCCCATCTCAATACGATAGAAGCTAAAAATAGTATTATTAGTCATTGATAAAGTGAAAAAATATGAAGGTAAACATTTTATTTGTCCAGGAACCAATCAGATATAGTTTCTGTGCCAGCACAGTTAATCTGAAATAGATTTAGTATTGCCTTCAGTAAAGGGGCCACAACCGGGGCCCAGACAAGTTCCACAGGGGCATATGTGTGAAAAAAACGTTGGATTCCTGGTACAACATTTGTTTTATTTCTTTTGGACTGTTCATGATTTGTATGTGCCATCTTCCTTTCATAGTGGTCCAGGATGCTGCCAGTAAGAAGAGCAACAATCTCCTGTTGGACACGTCAGATTTAGCCATAAGCCAGTACAGTCTAGCAGGGCAGACACCTCCTATCTCTGCCCCTGACAGCCCAGCGGTTCAGCCTCGACACCCAGAGGAAAGTACAAATGATGAATCTGCAACTGTGAAGGAAGATCAGAGCAAAACATCAGAAGTTTGTCTTGAGGGGGATGCAGAACTAAAGGCTGAGGCCATGCCTGAACTCAGTCCAGCTCAGGCCCTTAATCCGAGCATTTCACTTCAGTCTCCTGTGATTGTTGTGACACAACAGTTTGATGAACATGAAAACAAAGAGACTCAGGGCTCGGCGGAAACTGGGAAAGAGGATAAAAGTGAAAGCGAGGCAGCAGGAGAGAAAGTAGAAGTTGAATCTTCCAACACAGATGGAGCTTCTACTCAAGAAGCTGCTGAGACCGACCCTGGCTCCACCATCCAGCACTCTCCTGATCCTGCTTCTTGTGTCCCGATTCAAACAGAAGATGCCCAAGAGGATAAAAGTGAAAGCGAGGCAGCAAGAGAGCAAGTAGAAGTTGAATCTCCCAACATGGATGGAGCTTCTACTCAAGAAGCTTCTGAGACCGACTCTGGCTCCGCCATCCAGCACGCTCCTGATCCTGTTTCTTGTGTCCCGATTCAAACAGAAGATGCCCAAACTGAATCTACTCCAAGTGAATCTGTATTAAGTGAAAATCAAATCTCACCTGACCTCCTGACCTCAGAGGAGACCTGCTCCGTCCAGCTCCCATCACCGACGCAGTCCCCCTGCTCGGACAGTACAATGAAAATCAGTCTAGGGTCTCTAAGCGAAGCTATAGCTCCATGCAGCATGGAGTCTGTGGTAAAGCAGCCTACTGACAGGGCAGTCTACTTGACGGGCCCAATCAAGGACAACTGGGAGGTTGAGAGAATAAATGAGGAAAAACAGAAAGAAGCATCAGAGAATAAGAAAAGCAAGGCCAGAGACGAGGACCAAAATGGAGGACAAGAAGACGGTGCAGCCCAAACAGGAGGCGATTCTATCGGTGAACCATGTGCATCATCGGCATTAGCAGTAGAGAGCACCACGGTCTCAACGCCTAAGCTGACGGGGATTGAAGGAGGTCTGGATGATGATCAAACGAAAGGTCAGATTCCAACAGGGGCTAAGGCAGAGGCAGCAGAGGGAGGAGAACATGCAGAAGAAAAGGAAAACAATGATCAGGAGAAGGTAGATCAAACTTTTCAGCCAATGGAATCAATTCCAGAGTCTGAATCTGACCCTCAGTTGGACAGCGTGTCCATCATCAGAGACCTGGTGACCGAGATTGTTGAAGTGGAGATAATGATCAGCCCCTCTGAAAGCACCAGCAGCACCGATCCCCCGACATAAACACCACGTCCACAGAGAGAGAATCACAGACAAATCGACTAGTAAAGGTTTACAACAATACACTTATTTGTAAATGACACAGAAATCTGAGAGGTCAAATAGGTCCAGTTTTATTTAATCAACGGGCATTCAATTAGATTTTGATAAAAACACTTTTTAATTTAATTTTGTTGACATGAGCTGTTTTTTTAAATTTTTTATATGTAATCAAGTTGCCAAATAAACATGTTTAGATAGCCTCTCCATGTTTCCTTTTTTTATTCTAGGGTGAGAGATGTCCCTGAAACCAGCACATTTAACTTTACAAAACATTTAAACATTCAAATTTCATTATTTTATCTTTTCTTAATTGTCCTCTGAATCGTTTATATTATAAACCAACACAAACTGTATATAGCTATAAAGTGTATGAATAAATGATTAATGGCTTTTAAAGATTTTTCACATAAAATCACAACAGTTCAGGATACATTTGCACTCAGTCCTCCTGATTCGTTTGCAGAGCTATCCGATGCTGTAACCACAGCGACAAATCTTTCAGCTTTCTCTCATCTAAACACTGAATCTAATCAAAATACCCAACGCTCAGTCTGATTGGATGAAACAACCATTTCATGTCTTGCTACAGATTGTGGTTTCAGTTCTGAACTTTGCTCCAAGTTTAGAAGAACAATGACATCATTAGTACCTCTTAACTTGTTTCCTTGCAGGATTGCCCTGTATTTAGCTCCGTCTTTACTCTCATCACTTGAACTATAGGTAGTTTTTCAGTTCCTACTGGAGCAAACCATCCCCACAGCATGATGCTGCTAGCACTGTGTTTTATCTTTGTGAATTCAAGCCAGTATTAAAAGTATTTTTGGAGGATTTTCACATATTTTTGAAAAGACCCGCCCTCTCCATTTTAAATAAAAATCCACGTGCACAACCCTGTACCCGCTCCCGAGAGGGAACGCCTATTAAACGTGAGCGGGAGAATGGATGAGCCCATTTTTCCTCAACCATGCTCTGTTTAAAAATTGCTGTTTGCGGGGTGCAGCTGGCGCATGTCTCTCCCCCTCTCTCATACCCCCTTTCCTTTCAGCCTACTGTCATAGAAACGAGCCACTAGTGCCATTAAAAACTAAAATAAAAAATAAATTGCTGTTTGCATCACTCCTACAAGCTTACTTTCCAAAAGATTTGCAATTTTTCCACTATGTCAGACTCACCACTAGTAAGTAGGAAGGCCTTATGTAAACATATTACCTGAATGATTGACAATTAGGAGGACCACTTATTTTGATGATCCACTTGAAAAAGAACATCCTCCACTATACCTTTGACATATTGGTTGCTGAATCCCGTGTAGGTTAAGAATTGTTTAAATTCTTCTCTGGATTTATGCTGAGATTAAATCACATAAAAACATTGTATTTATTAATGACTTCTAAAGGCAAGTGATTGCACTGGATTTTATTAAAGGACATCAGAAGACAGAAAGCTTTATACAAATGCCTGCCAGTTTTTAGATTAAGATTTTTTTTTAAAACAAAAAAAAAACAAAAATTCTGCTTGATATTTATCTGCAACTTTTACTTGGTCATTCAGATAGGAACAAAAGAAAAATCTCCATAATACACAGATTGAAAATAAAAAAAAAATTCCACAAGATATTAAGAAGTCCAAACCGTTTCCAGAAGAGATACATCCCATCTTTTTTAAACCAGAAGCTGACCAACAGTGAGAGGGACAGATTACATGTTGTTCGACAGCCATAAAGAAACTGACTATGAAAAAGAAATCCATCACAAACATGCGTCAAAATTAAAATATATGTGCAACATATGCCTAAAAAAAACAAAAAAAATACTGCTGTGGTGTGAGGTAAAAGCTTAACGAATGAAGATAAAACAGCATTTTTTAGATCTCGGCTATAAGCCAAGTTATCCAGTGTTTCCCTAATTGGAGCCTTTTAGTCACATCTCTTAAGCCGGGCAAAAACTGATGGATATTTTCAATTTTTGCACACAGCTACAGCTCAAGCTGTACAACAAAACTGCAGAGTTCACAAGTTCACAGCTCACAATGCATGTTCACACTGTGCCGCCCGACACTCTGAAGAGATCTTTGGTCGACCGACTGAATTTTAAACATGTTCGATTTTCTCCCAACCTTACGATTCCTGATCAGGAGGCGGTCGTCAGAGGCTGACCGCCCCTCGTTACCCCCCCGTACACTACACAACGTGCGCTCAGGCGGAAACTCGGCTTGATCGATAAATTCTTGCACGACTGGAGAATCAGCTCGAAAAAGTGCAAAAAATCGTAGCGTATAAATGGCTTTAGACGAAAACACATCTATTAGTCCAAGCATAAATTACACTTTTAAACGCTTTGCTTTGTAGGGGTTTGAAAATGCAATCCTTCATTCTGTGAAATGCAAATGAATATCTGCATGTGAGACAGCTTGAGTTGGTTTGGAGCGAATTTCTTTCGCTTTACAAGTACAAAAAAAGTTTGTACTTTTCTGCATCTTTGCAGCAAGGAAATGTCTTGAAGAAGCAATACAAAACCAAAACTTTGCAACAGTTTTCAATTTCATTTCATGCTTCTGTGTTTCTGTTCTGTATGGACTGTTACAACTAAAGTTACTAAAGTTACGCCCTGCTTTAGATGAAATCTGCAACATTTATTTTAAGAGATACAGTCAAATATGTGCATACATTAGTGTAGGTTTATAAGACAACTATGATACCTAGGAGTTAGAGGAAATAAACCATGTTGAACCAAAAGAGGCCATTTCTTCCTGTTTTTTGTTGTTTTTGTGTGGTAATGCTATTAGATATTTAAAATGTGCAAATCTGAAACCACGTGTCCCTTTGAAGTGTAAATTATTTTCTAAAATAATGAGAAAAAGAAAGACATATCTTTATAAGTTAATAATAAATAAGAAGGTGAAATGAAAAGTATGAATTGAACCGAATATTCTGGTCTTTACCTTCACTAAATAAAGTATAAGACATGTGGTCACTTTCTAAAGAGCTACAAGATGTTCAGTCCTGACAACTAAGAGTGAAGCAGTACAGAGACGGGCATGCACGACGATGAGAAATGAATGTAGGATGAGTGAGATTATGAGAACTGGTAGAACGGCTGTTCATCCGGTCTGAAGCCATAAGCTGTGGCTGGTCGTCCTGTCGTTGAGCTGCTCTGGTCAAAGACATCATTGACATCTCTGGAACAGAAAGAACAATTAAAAAGAGATCGACTTCTTCTTAACAGGATGAGCAGTTAAAAGACTTCATAAGACTCACTGATCTGAACAAAGGTATACGATTTAATTATTGAAGACATTAGATTGTTTCTGCCTCTTTGCACAGAGCACAGCACCCTTATAAAGGTCTGAATTAGGATTCAACTTTAAAGCTCACAAGGAAACTAGAAAATAGCTTAAAAATAATTGAAACCAAAAAAAAAGGAACATAAAGCAGGTTCTTTATGTTATTCTCCACCAATAGATAAACAGCTGTGATACTAGACACACTCGGGTTGGTCTTTGGTCTATGAAAAATGAAGCTGCTAAATGCAACCTTCTAACCTCTACCTCACGTCTCAAACACGTTAACCTAATCCACTCATCCAATTAGTTAGGAACACTGAATTTTATCATCCCACTCTAATGAGCTACTGTCCTGCTCTGCTACAGCACACACCAAAGACTAAAGGATCATTTAAAACAGGAAGTTTATGAACAAGGTTCTGCTCTGACTAATTGGTGTTTGTAAGATAGGATGGAGCGCCCCCTGCTGGTGTATGTTGACTCACCCTGCATGGTGCAAGTCTCCATTCTGAGGCTGCAGGACGCTGAAGAAATCTGGGCTTGCCGAGCCGTCTCCTGGAGTTATTCCATCTAGAGTTGCATGGAGCAGATTCAAAAGAAGCATGGATAGGCTGGAGGCTCTACTGTTTAGTTCCAATGATCTGCTTACATGCCTTGTTCACCCCTGTCACACCTCGATGATTTAGCCAGCCTGACGTCCCAGAATCTCCTAAAACGCTGAACTTTCTATGCATTTTTTCAATTTTGGGCGTATACTAAAGAGTCCAGAGCGTATGTCCAAAGACAGCCTAACCTCTGCATGACGCACTGCAGCGAAACGCCCATGAAATGTAACAAGCCAATGTCCTGAGGGGGCAGCAATGCGCTCGGAGGCGCCCAGCTTGCATGAAAAGATTTCTTTGATCGCCATATTAACCTAGCTGCTCTTTACTGCCCGCCCTGCCAAAAAAAGAAGAAGAAATAAAAAGAAAAAGAAAGAAAGAAGGATTGCAGTCGCAGCAAATTCAGCGTCATGTCTGCTACACTGGAAAAACAATGTAGAAACAAGTNACATAAAGCAGGTTCTTTATGTTATTCTCCACCAATAGATAAACAGCTGTGATACTAGACACACTCGGGTTGGTCTTTGGTCTATGAAAAATGAAGCTGCTAAATGCAACCTTCTAACCTCTACCTCACGTCTCAAACACGTTAACCTAATCCACTCATCCAATTAGTTAGGAACACTGAATTTTATCATCCCACTCTAATGAGCTACTGTCCTGCTCCGCTACAGCACACACCAAAGACTAAAGGATCATTTAAAACAGGAAGTTTATGAACAAGGTTCTGCTCTGACTAATTGGTGTTTGTAAGATAGGATGGAGCGCCCCCTGCTGGTGTATGTTGACTCACCCTGCATGGTGCAAGTCTCCATTCTGAGGCTGCAGGACGCTGAAGAAATCTGGGCTTGCCGAGCCGTCTCCTGGAGTTATTCCATCTAGAGTTGCATGGAGCAGATTCAAAAGAAGCATGGATAGGCTGGAGGCTCTACTGTTTAGTTCCAATGATCTGCTTACATGCCTTGTTCACCCCTGTCACACCTCGATGATTTAGCCAGCCTGACGTCCCAGAATCTCCTAAAACGCTGAACTTTCTATGCATTTTTTCAATTTTGGGCGTATACTAAAGAGTCCAGAGCGTATGTCCAAAGACAGCCTAACCTCTGCATGACGCACTGCAGCGAAACGCCCATGAAATGTAACAAGCCAATGTCCTGAGGGGGCAGCAATGCGCTCGGAGGCGCCCAGCTTGCATGAAAAGATTTCTTTGATCGCCATATTAACCTAGCTGCTCTTTACTGCCCGCCCTGCCAAAAAAAGAAGAAGAAATAAAAAGAAAAAGAAAGAAAGAAGGATTGCAGTCGCAGCAAATTCAGCGTCATGTCTGCTACACTGGAAAAACAATGTAGAAACAAGTTAAAAAAGTCTTAAATTAAGAGTATTTACCCTTAATTTGAGTAGGTAAATGAGATAGTTTGCCAATGGAATGAGTATATTAACTCTTAAAATAACATAATTAGATAATATGCACTTGAAATAAGACAATGCAATTGTGTTTTCTTATTTTAAGTGTAAAATTGTCTTGTTCCATTGATAAAATGTCTCTTTTACCTCCTCAATCCAAGAACAAATGCATTTATTTTAAGAAAAAATTACTTTTCTAGATTTTGATTTTTTTCCAGTGTAGGAAGTTCGTTGGTCGTGACGGTGGGCGTGAACGCAGGGAGGATCCATCACAAACAGCGTCACGTTCACCCTATGATGGGGACGAAGTCTGGAGGAGTATAGATGTTTCCTCCTGTGAACCCCCTTTTATACCAAAACGCTGCCAATACGCAATTATATCAGGGTTTATACAGGAATGAATAACTAACTTGATGCTATTTAATGCTCGTAGTAAAAATTTGAATGCCACCAACAGGTACCCGTCGACAGGCTGCAGCCCTGTCTCGAATTCCTCGTTTTCTAGCAACTTTTGTTGAAATTGGCATTTTTCCCCCATTCTCTAGCCTTTTCTGAACATATGGCTTTGCGATCAACCGGAAGCAGTTCCAATCCACACAAATATATTGTGATATAATGTGTTTGACGAATTTGTTTTTATAAACAATTTCTTTTTTAAGAAAGCATTTTAAATGCCACAATAAACACATTTAATGCATTTTAATTAAAACCTTAATTTAGAAAATAATTATTTAATGACATTTAATGATTTTGAATGACCCGCAGAAACCCTGTATACGGTCGCTGTAAGTTGGAAACGCGTTCAGCGGTCGTCTGGAACACGTCAAATATGTTGATATGTGTTGGAGATAAGTTCTTGATAAGTTACGCATAAGTTATAGACAAGTTACTCATAGGTTTTAGATAAGCTGGACAACACAACTTATGAGTAAATTACACGTAATGTATGTCAACGATCAAATAACTTGTACATGTACAGTTACATAACATGTAACTTATTCCCCACGTATGAGCATACGCTGGCATATGTCTTGACGTACTTGCCGTATGTCGATGTGTGCCAGCGTCTTTCAGCATACTTCACCGTGCTCATGAATTATACTAAACGAACCAATAACATATCCAACGTATGCCAGCGTTTTTCCCAGACTTTTTGTACATCAGGCATACACTGGTCTAAATCGTCAAGGTGTGACAGGGGCTTAACTGGGTTAGCACACACCGTACCTGCGCTGTAGAACAGATCCGTCCGGTCGTTGTCGTTATCGTAGAGATATGGCTCGGCCTCATCAACCTGTCGACTCTCGACCATCTCCAGCCACTGGTTGTTGTGGAAGCGAAATTTCTCTGACTGGATCTTCCTCCCCCACTCCTCATCATACTCCTAGCAGATACAAGGGGGGAAAAAAAAGAATTAAAACCTGAGTCGATCGGGTCATTTTAATTCATTATTTTAAAGTCTATGTAAATGTGTGTTGAACAGACAGGCTGACTTACAGCGATGATGTCCAGAGTGTTGTCACACACTTTCCTGATCTCTGTGTTCTTGTCATGCATAAGATCAATCAGGTAAGCTGGAGCCTCTAGAGAAAAGGTTAAAGAAAAGACCCCCAGGAACCAAAATAAATAAACTTTAAAAAAATTGAAATAAAAAACTCTGCATTTATGTTGCAAAGAAATCTTTGAAGGATACGGGTGTCTTTGATGATGACATCTCGAGTCGCCTGATGAAACACCATCTGGTAGAAGACGTACACAATCTGACACACAAACTCGTCGTCCTCCTGGCGTGCTGCAGAAAATAAAACATCTGTAGTACTAACAATGAACCACCTGCACGGGCTCAAAGAAGGATAAACATTTCTGCTGAAATTGCATTTTTTGTTAGAAAGAAACAATACAAAAAAAGTGTGTAAAATACTTTGCATAAGTGTACATACCTTTATCCTAATACTTAACTAAAATAGCTGTTGATTTTATTTAATTTAGGCATAGGTCTCATTTAGGGCTAAAACAATTAATCGGATTAATCAACTAATTTAGTAATCGATTAATCGTTCACTGAAGTGTAAAGACTCTAAAATATGGCTTTACCTGATAAAGCAACCCCCCATTAACAGCAATTATGCCAAGATTGTAAAAAAAAAAGGAAAAAATTTGCAATTTAAAAAAAAAAAAGAAGCTTTTTCAGCCATCTATATGCCCTATCCAGAACTCAAGTGGAAAAGTTTAAGTTTCACCTGGTTTAATTTCGTAAAAAGTCTTCTTTAAGGAACCTTTTGCTATGCGATTATGAAGTAATTAATCGAAAAAAAATAACCGAGAGATTAATTGATTTGCAAAACAATCCTTATAGTGAATCTGCTTAACATCAAGCAGAGATCAGCTTTCCCTTTAAGAGTTTTGGTTAACTGTATCCTGCAATTAATTTAGTAAGCAGACACATTTAAAAGCATCAAAATTATGTATCCAAACAAACGCATCTGTCAGGCGAAGAGAACAAACTAAGGTTGCAAGACGAGATACAAGAAGATTGTACCTCTAAAGTGAAGATCCAAGCTTCGCTAAAACGTAAGTGACCTTTGAATGCGGTGCTGCGCTGCATCATTAAGATGATGCATCTTATTTCGTCAAGAAATCTGAATATGAGAATAGGTTTTATTTCAGCCTCACAGTGACTCCAGGTATACGGGCTAATAAACCAGAGGACAGCCTCAGCGGTAACACTGGAGTCCTCAGCTGATCCATATCTGTGGGCTATGTTCACTTATGCAACTTGGTTTTCAGCTGGTAAACTGTGCAGAGTTTATTTAGATACAGATAGATTTTTATTAGTCAGAGATTAAATAAAAATAACAGCAATAAGAAATTACTCTAAAGTAACGACATAAAAACACTAAAGAAGTTAAAAGATGGAATCACATTTAAGATGCAAAAGGTTTGGAAAGGATTCATTTAGGCCTTGCCTGGATTTTTAACAGGGTTTACATGTTTTCTGTTCCCCTCCAGTCTAAATACTGATCTGCCTCCATTTACCGTTCAGCAGCTCAATAAGAGCAGGGATGATGCCAGATTTGGCCAACATGACAGCGCAGGCATCATCTATGGAGACAGTTCCAATCATTATGACCACCTCCAGGATAAGGTCATCCTCAGCCGAGCCTAAAACACAAACAACCCGACTATAGTTGTTACTGACTCACTAAACTAGTAACATTTTACTACAAAACTCATTTATTTCAGTCATACGATTTAAAGAAATAAGCTATATGCTAATGAAGACTCAACATTTTATTTTTTATATCAAGAAAATCAATATATAAGAGCAAAAACTGCAATATGTCAAACAAAAGAAGCTAATTGTTCAGAGTTTTGATTTCAAGCATATTACTTGAAAGTTAAGTGGAAGGAAAAAAGTAAAAAGGCAACTCTTCTTAAAATGTGGTACCTGGTTTGAGTTTGTCTTTGAGAAAAGGCACCAAGTTATACTCCTTCAGAACCAACTCCCAGTCCAGGTCGGGGATAGTTAGGTTGGCCAGCGTGCCCAGACACTCCAGCACCCACTCCTCCTCTTCCTCGGTACGGATCTCTGCAGCCAGGTCACCCACGTAGTCCTGAAAAAGATTGGAGCAAAAATACATCACAGGTCCTCAAGCTCCTTTGGAAAAATATTTCTGATACTAGCTGAGAGCAGGAGAACCTGTTCTCATAATTATGACCGAACTCACAATAAACAGGGGTTTAGTTGGGCCATCATGCTGGGAGATGTTTCTGATCATCTTCATAAGAAGGCAGTCTTTTGTTTTCAGAGCTCTTTTCATCAACATCTTCAGCCCATTTCCTTAAAAACAAAGAATTACACTTAAGAATGATACCCGGTCAAAACAGCCTGCTCTACTGCAAAAAGCCTCCACAGAGATAATTGCTGCAAAGCCCAGTTTACCTTCACACATGAGCTGAGCGTTCCTTTTGTTTGCAGCCAGGTTAATGCAGATGGAAATGAGCTCAGCTTCTATTTCCTCACCGCCGTGGTCATACAACATCTGCATCAGCTAAGTTCAAACAGACATAAATTCAGCTAATGCTTTTGGAACCAACCGTCAGCTTCAAGGATACGGGCACTCCAGTACCTGAGGTATGCAGTCAGTGTAAACAAACATGCCTCTAAAGCGGTCGTCCATGCTGATGTGGTACAGGATGCGCATCACCACCTGCCGGTTGCTCTCATCACCTGCATGACGAAGAACACGGTTCTGACTTACTGCTGTTCAAATTCAGCACATCATACAAGTTGCTTCTGTTGCTTGTTGTTACCCAACAGAGCTGTGAGCTTAGGTAAAAGCCCAACTTCCACCATCTTGGCCCTGAGTCCAGAGTCAAAGGAGAGGTTAAGTAGCAGACGCAGAGTTAGATTTAGCAGGTCCTCATGCTGACAGGGAACAAGACGGGCCAGGTGTTCCACAGTGTCAAGCTCAGCCTGCAAAATAAACAGACATGGCAGCTATGACATTCAATCGATGGAAACATTCATTGTAACATGTAAAAAAAAATAAAAAATATTCAAGAAGCTAATAAAAGTAAAACATGAAACATGTCAAACTGCACCACAGACGTCTTTAAATTTGAAATGTGCCCCGTTGCACCAAAAGAAGAGCAGCGTGTTTCTGGTCTGTCCTCACCATGTCATTCTTATTCTCCAGGAAGATGGAGAGCTTTTTTAGGAACGAAACCACCAGCACCAACAGCTCCTCATCGTCCCGCTCCAGAACTCGGACCAGCAGCCCCACAATGTTTTTATTCCTCATCTTCAGCTCCGTCCTCGTGTCCTCAGCGAGATTCAGCAGGAGGTAGAGAGAAACTGATAGGAGGAGAACAGGACAAGGAGCATGAAAAGAAAGCTTCCATTATCTTCCAATTAAAAGGATCCAAAAGAATTTAGTGATCAACACTTTGATTAAACAAATTACTACATGCATGCCTCAGTGCTGATTAGTATTAAATGTGCATGAATCACAGCCGTACCACACCTGGTAGGATTCTTTTACATCGGTTTTAAGCCATACCGGCTTGCAAAGATATATTTGAACTTTCCACATTGTGTCACATTAAAAGGATAAACTTTAATGTGTTTAATTTGGAGTTTATGTGACAGATGATTACAAAGTATTCCATAAGCACAAACAGGAACTAAACCAGTTTTTCCAATTAATAATGTAAATATAATCTGTTGAACTACCTCATGCTGGAATTGCAACTGCAAGTCTGCAGGGCCATTTCTCTACCAGCCCTTCATGTGCAAAATGCTGTTTCTTTGTCCATTCTTCTTTTAGTGCAGACTTAGTTTGATGTATAAAGGTCAGGACATATATTCTCAACTGGATTTAAATCTGCACTTTGACTAGGCCAACTAATACAGGGTTTATACATGAATGGGTAACTCTTATTTAATGCTTTTTAATGCTCTGGCCATGTCTCGAGTTCCTCGTTTTCCTGCCACTTTGGTTAAAATTTGCATTTTCACCCCATTCTCTAGCCTTTTCTCTGCCTCAAGCTTCTTTTCCGAAGCATTTTAATGCCACGATTATCAAATTTAATGGATTTTAATGCCAATTAAGGCCTTAATTAAAAAAATAATAATTGAATGAATTTTAATGATTTTTAATGACCTGCGGAAGCCCTGTAATAGATAATCTGGCTGTCTGATAGAATGTATCCCAGATTAAAGTCTCCGAGAGGTTTTCTTACCATTTTTTAGCTCCATTCAATTTCACATCAACTCTGACCAGCTTTTTTGTTGAAGACAACAATCCCCACATCATGACACTGCTAACACCGTGTTTTACTGTGGATATACTAACACACGTTCAGTGTTAGTATATTTTTTGCATGTAGATTAAAAGGATCAAATTACTAATAATCTCCTTGCTCAGCCTGCAGCTGTAAAAAAATACTGTCTTTTTAAAGTTATATTTATTTATTTATTTTGCATAATACAGTCTTACAGTAAAATTCTGCAAAATCTGCAGAAATTTTAGGTAAAGAGGAACACATGCCATTTCTCAGTCTCCATGCTGTTTGTTAATTAAGCCCCCAGAAGGCTTCACATAGCAGCTGAACCCTGCTGAATGCCATTTATTAAATTATTTCTCAAAGTAATGAGAGATATGTAGAATATTAGAATAATGTGGCTGACTGCCTTACTTTGTGTAAATCTAGCATGCAAAACCTAATATAATATATATTGAAGTATTCAAAAACAATTAATAATTTTGCAAAATGCTGCATACCAATACAATTCTCTGAAAAAGAAAAACATAAGCACTTTAATAAATTTATTTTACCTCTGAGAAGCTGCTCCTGCTTAGCTAAGAGGCCTTGGTATTTCCTCAGAGCTTTATCCTGGTCTCTCCTCAGAGAGCCATTTTCTGGTGCTGCCTCACGTTTCCAAAGCAGCATTAAGGAAAACATTTCATGTTACCAAAAACAAGAAGAGACAGCAACTCAAACTGTTGAACTAAGGGACAGCATTATAAAAAAAGGATATAAGCCTTGCTTTTCTTGCGCAGCTCCTCCCGCCACACATCGTACCTCTTCAGCTCATGTTCCACCACGCTCATACACAACGCCCCTATCTTATAGTGACTCACCACCGCATGGAACTGAGAAAAACTAAACAAAAAGGGTTCAATCAGTGCTGGGAGACGTATTCAGGGAAAATGTGGACCTTTGTGTGGAGGTTACCTGGAGAAGCAGAAGAAGATGTAAATGATGCTGGTAGCCAAGTCAACACTCTGCTTCCAGTCCTCCCTCAGAACTCTGGCCAGAGCTCCCAGAGCAGCTTCTGTACAGAAACACACGCTTTATGCTCAACCACCTGAAGCTTTGCTTTAAAACAACCAAACAGTGGCACCTATTACAGCCCAGTGATCAATTAGTTTTGGATTTTTTTGTTCTGTTTTTATTAAACAATATTAACTTAATGAATTACTTAATAAAAATATATACTTTAAATACCTTAGAAAATGACTAAATTATTCAGCTAGAGAATAAAAATTGTTTAATTAAAAGCAGAGAATTACAGATTTTGTGTATGCTTAAAAATTTCTATAAAAAAAATCTAATTAAAAAGGTTCATGTGATTAATAATGAACTTCCACAAAACCAGTAATCTATTTTTTTGGTTCCTCAACAATATAAATATACCAAAGAGCAATTTCTCTAAGCCAGCCACTCAAAAATAAATAACAGCAAAGAAATATCTGCTAAATAAATCTTCCCTAATGAACAGTCATTTAAAAGTTTCAAGACTTAAAAAAAAAAAAAAGGAGACTGGATTAAGAACTTAATTTAAGTTTTTTTTTCTCCCTGAACTTGAGCAGGATGCAGGGGGAAGAGAAATAAAAAAAATCAGAGGAACAGCAGCTACCATGTCTTGTGAGGCCTTTCCAAACACTAACTAAAGATGATAATATACCGTTGTGCAGCAGCTCCTCCAGGTTGTCGGGGTTGCGGGCGAGCTGCAAAATCAGAGCAGCGCCCCTGATTTTCTCTGGGATGCCTTCATAGAGCAGCTCGACATACTCATCCATTCTGGTTATAATGGCTTCTTCGTTTAACTACAAACAAATAAAAAACAACAACACAGACTTTCAACAAAAAGCTACCGGAAAACAATAAAAAAAAAACTGAGATGCTATCAATTCCATAAAGAATCCGAGGGATAAAGCCGGCATTCTGTTATACCTCCATTCCTTCAAATGGTGTCAGGTCTTTGGGCTTTACGGCCCTTTTCTCTTTCTTCTCTGCTGAAGACAGGAAAAAAAAACATGAGTAAAAAACTACAACTGTTCTATTCTGCTTTTATGCAGATTTGAAAGAAAGGATTTATGAATTCACTAATCTATTCCAGAGCAGGAGCAGATTAGTCTGTCTCACCTTTCCCCTCCACGGGGGAGGACTTCCTGTTCTGCAGGTAGTAGAGCAGGTGCTCCACCTGAGGCAAACGGGAGGCAGGGATGAGTTTACACTCCTCCACCACTTTCCTGGCCAAAGCTGCCACATCGGTGGTAGGAGAGAGGCTTTTCACACGGATACTAAAGGGGAAAAGATGACAGGTAATCTAAAGAGTTGCTAATAGTTAAAAAGCTATTAATACATAACACCACAGAAAAAAAGGGTTTTACAAGCATTAAAGCAGCTGAATGAAATGTACCTATTACATCTTTATATTCCACACATTTCTGTTGATGTTAAATGTTTCTCACCTCTTATAATACTAAACAATTCACCACTTTTAATTTAATTTGCCCATAGTGCACCTGCTGCACTCTGTCCTTCTGATTGGAGGCTAAACTATATTGACAATAAAGTCTAACCTACTTCTTAAAGCGGACGTAGTTTGACCTCTTATCAATCTGTCGGTTTAAGGATTGCCTTAAATACCATAATTAAACCTTTATTCCATGTTAGTTCAGAGTGAGAAGAATGAAAACCAAAACCATAAAACAAATGGTTGAAGGGTAGCAGCTCCCTCACATCTTTTGCCCCTCCTTGCGTTCCCCCAGCACTGGACCTCCATCCTCTCCCAGGATGGACGCCTCCACCTCATACTGGACCACCAGGGCCTTCTCTGTGGGATGGACGTCCAAACTGCCTGCAGTCACTTTGCTGTGGGCGACAATAAACCAGTCAAAGTTTCAGATGTAAAACACTGTAAACTTTACTTTTAAAAGAGCACTTTGTTCCTATGATGATAAGCTTGCTAACCGCAAGGTCAGTAACAACGACAGTGACTTATTTACTAATTATTTCAGACATACCGGTCCATATTGTTGAAAAAGTACAATGAAAATAAAAAAAGAGGAAGGAAGAGAAGTAAATTAAAAAAACTGCAAAAATCATAAATATCACATTAGAGACAGACTTTTAGCTAGGAATATTTCATAGGGTGTACACCGCAGTGTATCACATCTTCAGGCTTTGCGCAGCATAGGGTTATCCTAAGGTTATCCTCCTCTGGCAAATATTGAAATTTAGACTCTCTGAAATGCCATTTCCTGCACTTTGAGGTGGAATGAATCTATTTTATTGTCTTTGTTACAACACTACTTTTGTCCTCGTTATGGGAAGTATGCATGCTTGACTACAGGTGGAAATTTCATAAGGAAGCATGAGATCTTTCTTCATTACAATACTATGTTTTATAGGTTCATTCAAACAGTCAGAAAGTGTAATGCTATATTCACACCAAACGCTATTTGAGCAGCAAAAAAAGTGCCTGCTGCTTAGTTTTGATGCATGTACACATTAAGATCAGACGAGCCTCAAGTGCATCTTTGATGTTCCTGAAGGGCGTCCAGATGCATCTAATTCTTCTACTGTGTTCAATGGCAGAGAGGGGCTTTGCTATATTTGCTGTGATCAGAGGGTAAAAAGTAGTTTTAATTTGTTAAAACTACTTTTTACCTTTTGTTTACTTTTTAGGGAGAAAGTCCACCTGAAAACATCATCAGTGCAGTCAGTTAATCAAGATTACAATTCTGCCTTCGAATGTTATTCCGCTGTCGGAGCTGCACAGACCCCCACATACCAGCAGTGTGCTGTCACTGGGATATCCCAGCAGCAGCTGCCTCAGGCCCGGTCACCTCTTGGGGGTTTCCCCCTACTGTTCCTAGTGGCTGGAAGATGATGTTAGCATTTTTCAGGTATGCGGTTCAAACTGCAGGCACCAGAATAATAAAAGGAAACATATTTTGCCGGCAGGTTTCAACATGTTAAGTAAATATAGGCGTTAATAAACAGTTTCAGAGGAGGGATCATAGGTCTGCATCAGGAGCACTGTTTGTCTCCCTGACAGCTCCAAGATCAGCTTCTCTGATCGTTTGATGTGACATGTTGAGCAGTCACACATCATTTTCCATCTGCTACTTGTGAAACCTTGAAACCGCCTGTGAAATTAGGGCGTACCAAAGCCGTACATCCCAAAACAGGGTGTACAATTTCTAATATTTTTAGTAAAGGGCATATAATGTTAACCTGACAACAGCCAGATGCATGTCCCGCTCCGCCCAGCTCCACTGAGCGGAGCTAGGCGGAGTGAGACATGCATCTGGCTGTTGTCAGGTTAATATAATGTACACCCATATGGATTGCTAACTAAAAGCCTGATTGGAAACGCAGTAACCATTATTATTATTGCTTATATCTGCATTTGTTTCAGTATTTTTTTAGAAGTTTGAAGAACAGACGGTGTAACTTTTGTTTATTACAATCAACAATCAACTGGTTTTCCTTAGATAGAAAACTTTTAATCAATTTGACTGGATGATCCGGTGAACTGTAAAGTGCCTTGAGATGACATCTGTTGTTAATTGGCACTATATAAATAAACTGAATTGAATAAGATGCAAATCTTTTATACTTTTTTATTAACACAATCAAAGGCTTCAGTGCATAACAAAAAACAAACAAAAAAACAAAAAAAAAAAAAACATCTCGATTGTATATAATTAAAACCTCCTTCATGGCTTATGTAAAAATAGAATGTATATTTACATCAAATCCAAATTTAATACCTTTTTTTTCAAGAATTTGCCCTAAACAAATAATTTTTATTCATCCATCAGCCAAGATCATCCTCGGGCAGACACACCCAGGAAAGAGCAAACAACGGATAGCTGGCTAATGGAGGCAATGTACGATTTCATATAGATGTTTTACTTAAATAAAGCATTTATTATCCCTTAAACAAATATTTACAACATTCTTTATTAGCTTTCTAGTTATTAGCCGCCATCAGAACCATTTTATCTTGGTCAGCTGCGACCCAATTCCCTTGTTTTTAGCTAGTTTTACAACATCATAATATAATAGTTATTTTTATCAAAGTAGTATTATATTATAAAACATTCGATGTTTTTTTTTTTCTTCTTTTTTTTCCTTTTATACCGCTGGTGATTAATATAAGCTGAGCAGGCTAACAGAGGATGAGATGGAGACTCATCCTTTTTAAAACAAACAAGATGTGTTTCAAGAATGTCTCCGAAAACAAGTCGAAATGACAACAAGGTGGATCTTTGAAATAGCTCCCGGATTAATTTAGTATCTATGCTCCGTCTAAGATGCACCGAGTCGTGAACAAATTAAAATCCCCCCCAGTGTTTAGCTGCAACGCTCCTTACCGTTTAAGGTACCGTGCGTCATCCTGCATTTTCTCCTGCTTTATGATTCTAGGTTTTAAATTATTATAAAATAATCTCCTAACATTGGAGAGATTCCACCGATAAATCACGACTTATGAATCCTACAGCGGCCCAGTAATATCGCCTTTTACATAGAAAACACCTCTTTGGTTTCCTTCTTGTTTTTCTTTTTTTATGGCGGTTGGCAAGCAACTTATTGATGTTCATTACCGCCACCTACTGGAATGGGGTGTGGATCGGGATACTTCTTCTTCTTCTTCTTCTTCTTCTTCTTCTTCTTCTTCTTCTTCTTCTTCTATTAAGTTTTCTGGCAGTTTGCATCCTGTGCGCATTACCGCCATCAACTGGACGGAGATGTAATTCAGAAATATAATGTCTGTATATCTTTATATCTTCATAAAACTAAATTCTATCTATACTTACACACGCGCACATACACACACTAAATTCTCCCAGCTAATTCT